TACATACATTACCTACCTTTTTAAAATTACATATACATACATACTAATTTTTATTGCACATTTCATATTTTATTTATAATAAACATAGGAATTAATATACAGACATACAGTACTGTTTTAAAATTTTTTTTTCGATAACTCGAACTTTTACTCCGGTCCTTTCAACATCGAGTTAACCAAGTTCGACTGTAATACCAATAGATCCTCATTTAATATTCTAAATGTCCTTAGGAAACCAAGCCAAATATTTATGTCCTTTTTGAACTCATTTATATATATATATTTTATAAAGAAATACTATGGCTCAAATGTAGTTATTTTTTATCGATATAATGAAAATTCTAAAAACACAAAAAATTACAAGAGGAAATGACAAACTCAAAATATCACATCACAACAATTAGGCAACGAATATTTTTGTTAAAAGAAAATAACAAATGCCTTTTAATCGATTATAACGATTTTAATAGTATTTTTTTATTATTAAATATAACAATAAAATATATATTTTTATAATTAAATAGATATATAAAAATAAAATTTTCTTATGATCTATAAATTATAGTTTCATAAAAAAACTTATTTAAGGCTTAATAATTGACAAATAAAGCACGCTATTCTCTTGCAGTTTCTCAAGGTAAAATTATTTTTGATTTTTTTAATAAAAATGATAACGAATAAAATAATTAATGTAAAGAAAGAACTTGTCATAACTTCAAAGAGCTATATCCTAATTTCATATATATATAATGGCGGATTCAGGGGAGGGATACGTGCCTTCTTGTCAATTTTTGCCTTAAAGACACTGGAGTAAGCGTATTGCTTGTGACGTGAGAGCGTGTTAGTGACCACGGTCGAAGAGTTGAGGAGTAGACAATGGAGAAAAATTTAGAGCAGAGATACGCGATCAAGTTTTGTGTGAGGTTGAACAAAACCGCCACGGAGACTTTAAGTATGACTCAAGTGCCTTCAAGGAAGAAGCCATGTCACGTGCAGTGGTTTTCATGTGGCATAAGCAGTTTAATGATGGCCGCCAAAACATTGAAGACGACGACCGCTCTGGGAGACCATCAACAAGCTGAACGGACAGAAATGTGGATAGGGTGCGTGTGCTTGTGGACACAGATCGTCATCTTAGCAGTAGATTAGTTGCCGATGAACTAGGACTCAGCCAGAGTACGATGATGAGGATTTTGACCGAGGATTTGGGGATGAGGAAAGTCTGTACCAAGTTGGTTACAAAGGTTTTGTCGGATTAACAGAAGGAACAACGCCTGGCTATTTGTGAAGACATGCTTCGACGTCTGAACGTCGATCCAAACTTTTTGGATCAAGTAGTTACTGGTGACGAGACCTAAGTCTACGAGTACGATCCCGAATCCAAGCGGCAGAGCTTAGAATGATACATCAAAGCATCACTAAAGCCGAAGAAAGTTCGCATGAGCAAGTCTCGCGTCAAGAGCATGCTGATTGTGTTTTTGACGCCAAGGAAGTCATCCACAAAGAGTTTGTAACTACTGGACAGACAGACTGTCACAGGTCAGTTTTACGCAGAAGTGATGCGTCGCTTGAGAGATCAAGTCCGACGTGCCCGCTCGGAGATCAAGGACACTTGGGTCCTCCATCACGACAATGCGCCCGTTCACACGTCGCGCGTTGTCAACAACATTTTGGCCAAATTCAACGTGACGACACTGCCTCAGCCCCCCTACAACCCCGACTTGGTTCCTTCTGACTTTTTACTGATCCCCCGAATCAAGAGAGACCTATAAGGGAAGCGATTCGACTCAATTGAAGCGGTCCAGAAGGCTTCGACGAGGGTCCTTGACGGCATTTCGCGTGAGGATTTCCTGAAAGGCTATGATCAATGGAAAAAGCGTTGACAACGTTGTGTAGACTTTCGAGGGTCCTATTTTTAAGAATTTTAGTCCGCTGTACAGAAATGTCCTGTAATGTACATATTATTTATCCTTCACCCACATTAGCATTTCAATACCACACTAGTGCCTGATCAGCACAAACGTCCCTACGACCTACAACAGATATGCGGCACGCGCGGGTGTAAACAAAACCGATGATATTCTTCTTCATTAGATAAATATATAACGACAGTCAGACGACATTTTACCACGCTCAAATATTCAAAAACCAGAACCAGAAGAAGTATTAGACATATTTGCTAAAAAATATAAACGAAGACTAAAATTTGACCTATAAGGCTAATCAACATTGTAGTAAATATAAATATTTTTAAAAAATGATATGATTGTACAGGGTTGGGCAGGGAGGTATGGATGATTTGAACAGGGCGTCGTGCAAGGTGGGTATAATCTTGGCGGATAAAGAGGGGGGGTATCTATTTGTTATGAGTTGCCGTTTTAGTAACAATGGAGACGTGTTCGATAGAGCATCGCGTGTTTGTGTTTTGTCATTCAAACTCAAAGACGGTTCCGGAATCATTTCAACGTTGGCCGTTATGGTCGTGTTCCGAAGTTGGAAACAATAATGAAGCGGGTGAATAATTTTCAACGAACAGGTTCCTTGAGACCTGGAACTGCACGAGGTGGTGAACAAACGTTACGAACCACAGAAAACATTGATAGAGTGCGTCAAGCAGTTAAAGTAAGCCCTCGTCGTTCGGCTATGTGACATATGTTCGTGTTCTTCGCATTTCGCACCGATCACTTCGCTGGATTTTACATTTGGACCTGCATTTTCATCCATATAAGCTGATGGTTGTTCAACAATTGCAGCAAAACGACTACGGAAGACGATTCAGATTTGCAGAAACAATGTTGGAAAACATGACTGATGATATTATTTTGATTATGAGTAACGAAGCCCATTTTTATTTGTCAGGAGTGGTAAACAAGCAGAACTTTAGGTATTGGGCTTCTGAAAACCCACGTCAACTCCATGAAAAAACTCTACACACAGACAAATTGATTGTTTGGTGCGGCATTAGTCGAAACTGCATTATTGGCCCTTACTTTTTCCGAGAAAACGATCAAACCGTCACTGTCAATACAGATCGTTACCTAACGATGCTGCGTGAGTTTTTTCTGCCACAATTGAGAAGACGACGTATCAACCTCAACACAGTATGGTTTCAACAAGATGGGGCGACATGCCATACATCGAGAGCAGCCATGGAATTTTTGAGGCAGACCTTCCCTGGGCGCCTCATTTCGTTGCGTGGAGATGTGGAGTGGCTTCCTCGATCACCGGATCTGTTACCTTGTGACTATTTTTTATGGGGCTACCTAAAAGCACGTGTATACATAAACAAACCATGTACACTGGAAGCCCTGAGTGAAACTATAACATAAGAAATTCGAGCGGTACCACGTGCAACAATGCTTCAGAGGAGTATGGACAACTTCTCACGTCTACAAGAGTGTATGGACAAAAACGAACAGCATTTAACAGATATTTTTCGTACGTAATCAATGTTTTAATTTTTTCCTCTTTAATTTTTATAATGGCAACATCTAAGATACACATTAAAAAAATAAATTTTGAGTTTCGATTAAAAATGAGAATGTAACTATTTCTTCAAATCATTCATACCTCCCTGTCCAACCTTGTATTTTGTAATTATACTTAAAATCATAAAATTTAAATGTGCCCCCTATCAAAAAATCCAAGATCCGCCCATGTATATATATGTGTGTAGTGACTATGGAATGATCGAGAATCTTCGCGACGGATAGGCAACACAAAATACATATACGCGCGAATGTTCTCAATCGCTCCGCAAGAGAATCTTCTAGAACTCAACACAATATAAAACGGCGCATCGTAACAATAACGTCAATCAGTTAGTTAGCCAGTCGTCAGTTAATCGTTTAATTAGTTAAGTACACGTAGTGCATTAATATAATTTTTATATAAATTTTCTTAGTGTTTAAACAATAAACCGTCTACATTTTTTCTGTTATATAAATTAGTGTTTTTATTTATTTTAAAACAAGTGAAGCACTAAATATATATAATATATATGTATATATTCTTCCTGTTACCATTTTGTTTCCAAATAAATCCAAGGCTCACTATTTAATAAATAGTTTAATATAGAGAAGATTAAAATAATTTGATTATAATCAACTGGGTAACAACCAAAAAAAAGTCATGGGTTTCTCAGCTGATTTAGACTAATTTTGGTGTTCTGAGTCCGAATATCACATTGATTTTGCTGTATCAGGTCAACTTTTTGAGATACAGCCATAGGCCTAAATGACCATTTTTCCCTGAAATGTAAGCCTTTTTATACGCTTCAATATGCTAATATTAGGGGTTTTAAGGAGATTATTCAGGACATATGAAAACAAAAGAAGCCTTTAAGATTGTAACAGTTAATCATTCCAATAGATGCCTTTTATTCTTATTATTGTATAAAATTTATTCTAATTTTTATTGTCTGACAGTAAACTGCATATTTCTATCTATTTCAGATTGATATGGCTTCTGCGCGACGTTCATTCATGAATAATCCATCCTGACGTTTTCTGCTACATCTGCGGAGAATACACGCTTTCAGTGGACAGGAAGAACATCACGGGATTTGTGAAGAACTCCTACCAGGCTTACTTTAAAGTCAAGCTGGGTGACCAAGATAAGCCCTGGGCACCGCACACGGTCTGCAAAAACTGCGTGGAATACCTCCGGCGGTGGACGAAGGGCACGAAAACTTCACTGAAGTTTGGGATTCCGATGGTTTGGAGGGAGCCCTTAGACCATGCATCGGATTGTTACTTCTGCGCTATCAATACTACTGGCATCAACCGGAAGAATCGGCACAGCCTCCAGTACCCCGACCTTCCATCTGCCCGCCGTCCAGTTGCTCACTGCGAAGAAATTCCTGTACCAGCGTTCACAGAGCTTCCTGACATCCACGACGAGGCCACCACTGCAGACGAGGGAGGATATATAACAGACGAGGAGTATGAAGCACAAGATGGTCGGCAGCCCTTTTCACAATGTGAGCTTAATGATCTTGTTCGGGATCTCAGCTTGTCGAAGACTTCATCCGAGCTGTTGGCCTCCAGACTGAAACAGAAAAATCTACTTGGCGAGGACGCGCGTATCACTTTTTTTCGTAGAAGGCATAAGGACTACATGGGCTACTTCTGCCAGGAGGAAGACCTAGTGTACTGCCGAGATGTCGCCGGTCTTCTTGTTAAACTCGGGGCTCCTACATACGATTCGAGAGATTGGCGACTCTTTATTGACAGCTGCAAGCGCTCTTTGAAGTGTGTGCTCCTCCACAACGGGAACGAGTTCGCCTCAATCCCTCTTGCTCACTCCACAACTCTCGTAGAGAAATATGAAGCAGTGAAGTACGTGCTCGACAAAATCCAATATGAGCAGCACCAATGGTTCATCTGCGTCGACCTCAAGATGGTGAACTTTCTACTTGGTCAGCAGACCGGGTTCACGAAATACCCATGCTTTATATGTATGTGGGACAGTCGAGACAGAGCCCAGCACTATGTAAAGAAAGTGTGGCCGCCACGAGAGCAGTTAGTACCTGGTGCGGGAAACATCATAAACGAACCTCTTGTTGACCGGGAGAAGATATTGATCCCACCGCTACACTTGAAGCTTGGGTTAATGAAACAGTTCACGCGTGCTCTGGACAAGGATGGGAGGTGCTTCAACTACCTGTGCCGAGCCTTTCCGCGACTGACCATNCTGTGCCGAACCTTTCCGCGACTGACCATTGAGAAGCTGAAGGCCGGCATTTTCGATGGGCCACAGATACGGCAGCTCATAAAGGACACAGAGTTCGAAAAGTCCATGAAGACGTTAGAGTGCGCCGCGTGGAAATCATTTGTGCAGGTGGTGAAGAACTTCCTGGGGAACACGAAGGCAGCAAACCACGCCAGACTCATCAGCAGCATGATAGAGGCCTTTCAAAAGCTCGGGTGTTTGATAAGTATAAAGATGCACTTCTTGTTCTCACACATGGAGAAGTTTCCTGAAAACCTTGGGGCGATGAGCGACGAGCAGGGAGAAAGGTTCCATCAGGACATGCGCCAAATGGAGGATAGGTACCAGGGGAGGTGGGACGCAGTCATGATGGCGGACTACTGCTGGATGCTGAAGAGAGACAACCCAGCAGCTGCTCACAAACGGGAATCGAAGAAACGCCGATATATGCCGTGAACTCTGAACTTTTGTGTCACGTAACGCTCATTGTTATACTAATATTATGATAAATATGCTTATTTAATTTGATGGAGTAAATAAAAACTTAATAAATTTGCATACGTTGACTTTTATTTCTTGAGGAAAACGGAAAAAATCTTCTGGGGTTTCTCAGCAGATGATCCAAAGAAATGTTTTTTTACGAAAAATCGATTTTTAAAAATTTCTGTAGCAAAAAATCCTGACCTGATAGAACAAAACCAAGGTCATTTTCGGACTCAGGGCATCTAAATTAGTCTAATTCAGCTGGAAAACCCTAGACTTTTTAAAAAAAATATTTTTTTGTTGCTCGTCGGTGTAGTCGTCGTCGAAACCAAAGGTTTGAGCAAGCATCCAGCATGTATTATTAATGCAGGTGAATGCACTCGTTAATGCAAATAGTTATTCTGCGAATATTAGCGCTAGTCGGTGCTAGTCGGTGTATATAAAGGCGATAATGCATAGTAGAAAAATCAGTTTACTAATCAAATCGTTGAGACGTTTATTCCGTTTAAATTTTATTCTTGAGATGGACAGTCAGAAAGATATTGTCGATTCTTCGCCCGAAATATTCACACTAGAGCACAACGAACAAATCGAATCGGATAAATTCGACGGAGTCAAAAAAGAACTGTTCGTAGATCCATCGTGGACGGAAGACGTACGAAAGTATAAAAATATATTTTTGCACACGACATGGAAACAACTACCGAGCGTTCAACAGTTACACGAGATGGAGGTGACGGATTTGGTAAGCAATTATATTATTAATGAAATTATAAATTTATCTATTTCATTAATATTTTTGCTTTAAAGGTACTGGCTTTGTCAGCATGCTTGCACATATGCGGCAACGACGAAATGTTGCCGGTGCACGTGATACTATTGTTTTTGGCCAACAACTGCGGACATTCGGCGATGACACCAATGGGACTGACCAAACTATTTCAGAAAACGACTCTACCACAATTGTGGACAGAAACACGAATTCAAATGACACTTACAAATTCAGAGGACACTAAGTCGCTCCTGGAGGGATTGCGTGGCGCGGCGGCGCAGTTCTCGAAGATCTTGACGATTGGTTGGCAGAACAAGCCGACCAGATATACAATCGATTCCTGGCTGCGACGTGGACCCAACGATACTATTCGTGGATATTTGTCCCCCATAGTGTTGGTGGAATTGATAGAATCGTGGCTGACATTGAGAACAGAATTAGAACGGTCGTTGGTAGAGGACACACCATCGAATTCGCGCTCGTTGCCAAACACGAAGACCACGTTCACGTCAACCACGTGTGCAAAAGCTCAAACTAGAGCTGTTAACATCTCAGCCCAAGGATGGCAGAATATCTTACGATATTTCGTTAGCGGTGGCCGATCTATCCAGCGTCTTACCGTTGGAGGTAACGATTTTACTTTATTTTTTTCCAATGGATTTATTAATTAAACAAAATTTTATCACAGGTAGAACCCGAAGACCTCCTATGGGAATTGAAATGTTACAGGAGGAGAGACATCTGGACAGTAGAAAAAAGCGAGTGGTGGAAGCACACTCATATCAAGATGACGGGGACGTGTATGGAGAGCCTATCGGAACAGGGAATATTAATAGAGAAGCTCGTTGCCTCGGTAACTCGACAGTTAGCCAACAGTCTATAGGAACGCCTTGTGAACAATCTTGTTGGTGAGAATTCATAACGACTATTACCACGATAATTTTGCTAACGAATAATAATACTAGAGTTTACTAGAGTACAACCGTTGTAACACTAATAGTTTACCTACCATCATTCTCCGCTTATATATAGTCGCATTATATATGTGGTATATATAATAATCGTATTTGCATTAACGAGTGCATTCACCTGCATCATTAATACATGCTGGATGCTTGCTCAAACCTTCGGTTTCGACGACGACGACAGTGTAGTGTGCATTACCCACCATAGGTGGCGGTATAGGCGGAGTGACGTTCTGGGCGGCACACCGTCAGTGATCCGTCACTCCGCCGATCACTCCGACTTTTCAAAGTAACATCTTCTCGCAGGTAGAACCCGAAGACCTCCTCTGGGAATTGAAATGTTACAGGAGGAGAGACGTACGGTCAGTCGAAAAAAGCGAGTGGTGGAAGCACACTCATATCAAGATGACGGGGACGTGTATGGAGAGCCTATCGGAACAGGGAATATTAATAGAGAAGCTCGTTGCCTCGGTAACTCGACAGTTAGCCAACAGTCCACTGACGCGTCGAAAAAAAACACCTCGATACGACAGGAAATAATAAATGTACTTCTGAAAACAGGTGGTACGCTTGACAGTGTACAATTAAAAGGTAGAAAAAGAAAACAAAGGGAACTTGAAATATTAATTAGGATGTACCCAACGTGTCCGATAAATGCCGTTAGTAAAACTATAGAATTTATTAATAACGAACACACTAAGTATATAGGAAGTAACGATAGGGATTTGACTGTTATTATTAAAAATTGGGCAATTATTTTAAATCAGTGGTCGGTACAACAATATTGGGATTACTATTCGTCGGCCGGTGTTAGACCTTATTTTAATCTTTACGCTTATACAAACTGTCGGTCTTCCTTTTATTATTATTATTAGTTATTAATTACAGTTATTATTGTAATAATGAGCAGGAGAATGCGAAGTGCACAAGGCCATGCATTTTGTAAAGCTTTGCAAAATTAAATAAATTACTTAATATATATATATATATATATATTAGGGGGTCCTTAGCTATATGACATGAATTTTTTTTTGTAAATTTACAGTCAGAACCCTCCTATTTTGTTTGGTCGAGTTATAAAAGTGTGAATATAAAATTTGAGCTAAACCCACCCTTTCCCGTCCCTCAAAGGGGGTTGAATTTAGGCGGTTAAAAAAGCAGAAAAACAGTTTTTTTAACATAACTCATTCAATTTAATATTTATTAAAAAAAATTACTAAACCAATTTTGTTGATCGCATTATTTACTAAAATAAAGTGTTTATGATATTTTCTGTAATGTTTTTATTTTCTTGTATAATGTTTAAAAATAAATAGTTAAAAAGCACTAAATATCATATTTTATAGATTTTCACAAAATATTCAGTTTCTTTAATATAACTCGTTAAATTTAGTATTTATACAAAAATGTTTCTTATTATTTTTTGTAGGAATATTTTTTATATTATATCAATGACTATACTGTAAATATTTATATTTTCCGATCCTATATCATCATTACTATTTAAATACAAACTGTATATATATATATGGTGTTCATTAAGTAAGGAAACAGGTCAGTTGTTAGAAATAGTGGCGTACGCAGAGGTGTGTCAGGGAGATATGAATCTCCTAATCTGAGATCTGTTCAAACTACAAATTATGAAACGATGACTAAAAAAAAAAAATAATGAAATTTTCCTGATAAATCATTATCATTATCAATCAGATATAAATTGATTGATGTATCTCATGCACATAGCACCACGGATATAGATACTATGGTTGCACGGTGGCCTATATTAGATCACAGCTGACTAAAGTCTAAAAGTCGCGTACTACTAACGTCCTCTACATTATTATCATATTATTATAGAACCCTTATATCATGTTAGTATGTAACCATAACTAATAACCATGGGGGTATTGTATAATTTATTATTATAAGGCCATAGACTATTATAGAGGGCGATGGTATAACACGACATTCTATTAATTCTTGATAAGACCATTCGCAGCCGTCATATCCATGGCACATAGAAGCCAAAACGACAAATATTTCCTAACCTCAAACGTTCATAATAACCGTGGCGATATAACTTGTGAATGTGTGATACTATACTATCGGTTAATTGTTGGGTTGGGTTTAGCGGTACGTAAGTATTACGAATTTATTCGTATCGAAAATTGTCTTCTTGAACACCTCATTAAAATGAATTTATTGTCATAGTTTTAACACATAGTTTTTTGTATTGATTGTTAATTTCTCTGAATATGCCAACAATATTTAAATTAAAATGAAAAGATTTGTTGGTACTTATTTTAAAAAAGTAGAAACTGATCCTCACGAGGAACCGTGTCCAGTTAATATTATTAATAAAAATGAACCCGATTTTATTGCAACCGATTAAAGTTCATCACCATCATACCAGTTTTCAAATGATTTAACAAATGTATCAACGGCAGGTAGCAATTTTGATATTAAAAATTATGATGGAAAAAAAGGACCAACGGATTCCGAAAAGATTGATAGTCTTTCAACAATCTGGGCACCTGGTAAGTAATAGTTATTTATCTACAGCAGGGGTTCTTAACCGGTGGTCTATGGACCCCTAGGGGGTCCAAAGATGGTTGCCCGGGGGTCCACCGACTGATTTGCGTTTTTTGTTTTTTTTTCTTCAAAAAATATCCAAAATTAAATTTATGCAAAAATAATTTAAATTATTAAATGAATGAGGATTGTCGGTTGAAGTAGTAATTATTTTATTTATTTTATTAATTTTAAATTTCAACCGTAAACTATTTATTACTTTTTCTTATCGATGTATAATATATTTTATTATTTTAGTAAAATTTCTAAAAACGTGAATAAGATAACAATAACAATGTCTTTTGCTCGTGTTCCTCCTATCGATATTACGGGGTAAGCAGTTATTATTTCGTGTTTATTATCAGACTTGGATGACACATATTTAACTAATAACAATTACGGAAACCCATCACTTATCAGTTGACCCTTAACCGTCGTATTGAACGTTGTGCCGTTGAATTTTATCACGTGTTTCGAGTGTTCCGACCTTCACACCGCATTATATTATTACATTTTGCCATCATATTAATATATTCACTTTAATTTTCACACTTCTTCATTTTATTTTTTTGATATTTCAACAATATGTCCATGTCGAAAAAAAGAAATTATAACAAGTCATATGGATTGTTTTTTTTTTTACATTTATTACTGAATGCGATGGTAATAAAAAATCACAATGTTTTATATGCGGAGAAGTCCTTGCAAATGGAATCATGAAACCATTTAAACTGAAAGAACATTTAGTTTCGTTGCAACCTCAACATGTATCAGATAAACCGGAAGTCTTTCGAACAAAAAAACAAGTTTTGAAAAATCAGGTACTTTACCTCAACGTGGATTTATACCACCACAAAAACCATGTCTCTAGGCATCTTACAAAGTAGCGTACGCTATTGATCGAAATAAAAAACGGCATACAATTTGTGAATCACTAATAAAACAATGTGCATTAGAAATGG